AACTAATTAACCTAAAGCTATGAATTAAACTAATTGAACTTGAGCGGGGGTTAAAGAACCTTGCATGCCAATACAAACACCCGCCTAGAAACGCCTCAATTTTGCTACCAAAACTATTATGTCTGCAGAAAATGCTTCTGTTTTCGCCTTAGCCACTGCTCTGTTTTGTAGGAAAATGACATTGCCATGCTAAAAAAAGGTGGTCGGCTGGATTCAAATGGTGGCCGGCTGGCCATTATTGTTGGTATTGCCCTGCTACAGTAGAAAAAGAATAGAGCAGAAACATATTGTTTCTAGGGGATGTTTATCCTCTTTGCCTCTCCCTATCATGAAATTGCTCAAAGGAGGGTAGAATCGATTCACAAATCATCAATGGTTGCAGAGTTGTTGCATGATGATCTATGACTCGATTGGACAAATGCTCAATAAGGGAAAATAAAAGACCAACAAAACCTCCTCCCTTATCATGGAATTGATCAAGGGAAGTGGTTGACATTGATTCTCAAACCATTATTATCATTAACAAGTATGAAATGGCCTAAGACTCAATGGGTTCAATTAACGTCCGATTGAACCCAAACCAATTTTATTCTTGCATGTCTTTTAGTCCAATTTTGTTACTTGTTTCAATTACCTTTCCATTCCTTAGTCCTTTTAGTCCAAAATGATAGTTAAGTCCATTAAATTGAGAAGAAGGTCAAACAAGGCGTTGTTTTGCGCATGAGAGAGGGGTAATGCCCTGGTAATGAACCTCCGAAGAGATTAAACCATTTAACATTGTATGGTCCCTTTCTCAAGCTTAAACAACACTTGGTTGAAACGATTCTCAAAGAAATAAAAAGCCAAGAAAGGAGAGAGGTTGTAGAGATGATTATATGTGAGCACAAGTAGGAAAAGCATGAAATAAATGCTATCAACTCGAATAGATTGGTGGCTAAGGCCTAAACCACCAAACCTATGAGGACCACTACACTACAAGCATGCTAAACAAAGCACCAATGAAATGAACGACCCAAAATAGTCCTAAAATAGCAAAAAAATAGTGCTAGAATTGAGTTGAAAAATGCTAGAAAAACAAGCTAAAATAATGGAGAAATGGGGCTAGTAAACAAGCTTAAGGAGAGGTGGTTAACCCCTCCACTTTTGGGACCTCAAAACAATGATTTTAGCCTCTGAAAAACTCTGAAAAATTAGTGGTAAAAAGTTGGAAAAAAGTTGAGGAAAGGATGAGAAACACAAGTGTAAAGGCTTAGGAGACTAGGTTCAAAGAAAGGTGATTAACCCCTCTACCTTTAATAGCCTTAAACCACAAGCTTCAGCCCATAAAAATAGTTGAAAAATAATCTAAAACAGTCGGAAAAGATAGGAAAGAAGTAGTGTAAAAAAACCAGGAATTATATCTCTTGAAGAGGAGCAATCCTTTGAGTTATAAACCAACAATTTCCCACCCTCAAGAGCTAAAATTCAAGCACAATAACCTTAGCAAAAAACCCTAAAAAAATTGGTTTAGGAGGTCTAGGTAAGGTGTGTATAGGTTGCAAGGTAGAGAGAAATAAATATTTTCCAAGAATTTGCTTCACCAAAATTTTTCTAACCTAAATTCTAGAGGGGGCATCAAGTATATATAGAATAACATGTTACTATCTCGGAAATATGAATATAGAGATAGCTGGTGCAGTGCATGCACCTGTGGGAACAGCTGGCACAGTTGGTAGAAAATATATGTTCTGCCGGCATTATTGGTTGGCTAGCCACTAAAGGGGATGGTCGTACCTCATTTTTGGCGTGCCGGCCACTAGTTGGCCTGCAGGCCTCTAGGTGGTCAGGCTTGGAAAAATACAGCCTTGGTCCAAAAGTGGTGCAAGGTTTGTAGGCTCCAGAGGCTCGAAACTGGGGCTTCCTACTGAGGAAATTGAGCGTGTTTGTCCAACGTATACATTCAACATTGGGTGAGCAATCGGAGGTTGCCCAAGTCTTATGGGCGGTCAAAAATGGGGTGTCTATAGTTGCCTCCCTCTGATAGATCTCAAAGTCATGAAATGACGTGAGTGAATGCCAAAGCCCAGAGACGACCCATTTTGATAAGGCCATAAGACTTGGACAAACAATCAAGACATAAAATTAAATTAGTTGAACTCGAAAGTTGCCCACGTATCCCTTTGCAAGGAATCAAACCAGCGTAGGTCAGGGGAAAAATGCAAAATAATACATCTGATGCGATGCAACAGTTAAGAATATGAACGAGCATACCACTTGACAATTAAGAAATTGAAACAAGGCAATGCAACAATTGAAATCAATAAACGAGAAAAATATTCCGTTTCTGCGTATCAAAACATTCCCAACCACACTTCCATGCAGAAAGGTTAACAAGAGACAAACCAAACTACGCTTCCTCGTAAAGAGGTGCAAAACAGCCCAAACTACACTACCACGTAGAGAGGACACAAGAACAATTGAACTACGCTACCGCGTAGAAAGGTGCAAGAATGGACCAAGCCACACTACTGTGAAGCAAGGTGATCCTAACTACACTACCGTATAGAGAGGATAACAAAAGCAACCAAACTACACTACCTCATAGTAAGGTGCAGGAACAAACCAAGCTACACTACTGCGTAGCAAGGTGATCCTAACTACACTTCCGCGTAGAGAGGTACAAGAAGCAAACCAAACTACACTACCGCATAGAGAGGTACAAAAACGAACCCAAACTACACTACCACGCAGAGAGGAACAAAAACAACCCAAACTACAGTACCACGTAGTAAGGTGTGAGAATGAACCAAGCCACACTACCGCATAACAAGGTGATCGTAACTATACTTCCACATATAGAGGACAGCTATTATATTCTTGTTCCATGTTTAGTAAAATGTTCTTATCATGGACAAAACATTTCCAAAAATATGTACTACATAAAGTTCATCAAACCTTTCATAATTACATAAAATACGTTGTTCGGAGACATTACCCAGAAACTTGTCAGACCTTTCAAAGATTATTAGATGATGGAATAATTCCCAATACATTAAACTTATTTAAATTTTGACAGAACAATCTTTGATCCAACTTATAATAGATAAGACAGAATGACTTCAAGTTCAACACAGAGCATTCATCAAGTATGCTACACTGAATTATCAAATGGAAAACTCATTCATGCATAGCAAAATATCTCTTTCAGGAAACTTGTCACATCCTAAACATTCGGAGTTTCGTAAAATACTTAGTCATCTTGAAGAAATTATTCGGAAAGCTTATCATATCATACACATGGTAGAAGTTCTTAGCATTCTTTATCATTTTAGAAAATACATCATATAAAACATTTCATAACCCAAAATATAAATTTCATAAACATCGTATAACATAGTCATTTTCAAAATCCTTTATACAAAAGTATCTTTTACAAAGACATTACTTACTTAGGTCTATAGTCAACTCACACAGAATCACACATTATTCATCTATGTCAGAAGTACCGAACGTAATTGGTAGTATGACACCTCTAAATAACACAGATCACATAAGTTCCATTCCAATGATCACTCATTTGCAGATCACATTAAAGGAACAAGCCTTGAATTAATTCGCATACAAATATTTCACCCTTAATTTGACAATTTGCAATATCTAACATTTGCATGTTTACACAGAAATATATCACAGAAATGACTTCTCAATCTTAAGTCATTAATACCCGTAGGCAGGGTTTTTGTTCTTATGGGGAAATATCATATCCCTATTTATTTAATTGATCTCAAAGTAGTCAATAACTACCCATTTTTTTACAAGTATCATGTGGACAGACACATAACCTGGATAAGGTCCTTTATGTCGTTTAACCATTCCTTATAAAATATCCTGATTATAGATTATAGACCACTCATAAACAAAACAGATTACAGATTTCCATAAACAAATCCCGTTAACCCATAAACAAAACTCATTCGACATCATCAATAATCCTCTCGGTTCCCCAGCAGAAATCGTCAATAATTTCCTCAGTTCACCAAATCACATTTTTTTTACATGTTGTTTCAAGCTCAATATGCATAACTTCTTCTTACAACCAATCATACTCAACATGATTTCAATTATTCTGCAAAACACATCTTATCAAATATTCAAATACAGTAACCTCTCAAAATCAAAGATCTTGACATTATTTTGGCAAGGAAGACATACCTATAGCATAAAGGTTAGAGGATCACATATATCATTTTCTTTGATCTTAGAAATATTCCATACTTAGAGTTTAATCACTCAATCTAAACAGATGTTAGGAAGCACAATCACGTTATTATCGTTTCTTACGGCTAATTACCAACCCAAAATAACAACAGATGTCACACATTGGCATATAAATTATCTTACCGATGAGTTCGAACCCTCACTGAGCTTCCACTGCGCAACTTTGTTAATTTAATCCCATAATTTTCCTTTTCATTCTGTCTAACCGTGCGGGGATAGAACCCTCCGGATCTTCCGTCTTTGTACTTACCATATTCTGCATCACAACCAATCACCATATACACAAAGAAAGTACAATAGACAAGGATCATGATCATTAGCGTTACCAGATACACTTAACATTGCCATCCATCTTTTCATATGCAGTAAGGATGTCATGCATGATACCTAAGTCTTTTCTAGCCATCCTAAGCCTAATGGATTCGTGTGTGAGATAGCAACTCGTGCTCTTATACCACTTGTCACGCCCCAAACTCGACCCTAAAAGTTCGGGCATGACCTATACAGATACGGACACATGACCTGATATACATAATATACGGGGCCTGAACGGAAGCATTTAATATTACAAAGTAACATAGAATAACATCAATTGAGCTAAAACTAACATGCCGGGATCACATACGTGAGAGCCATTTATCTATATACATACCCATACATATAAATGAGCGTATATCCGAACATTGGTAAAGAAATGGGGTATATACATACATTTTAACCTTAAGTAAATAATTAAAGTGCACGCCAAAATCTTAACAAAACTTCACATAAATGCATGAGCTTGGTCTAGGAGTCTGGGCATACTGAGGTTGAAAATTGAAGGGTAAGCATCAAGGGTTAAGACGGACTCCCAAAGTAATTACCTACAGAACAGACATAACACAAAGTGAGCGAAGCTCAGTGAATAATAGTATATAAATGATTCAATATTCAACTTAATCATAATATATATCAATGCGTATGTAAATGCGGAGATCACATAATTAATCTGATTCTGTACTAATTTCAGAACGGCCTTAGGCCCAATCTTGAAACATAATGGCTTTAAGCCTTTGAATGGATTGGCGATAGCCCTTGAACATATTAACATTAAGCTTTCACACATGTTGGCATATAGCCCTTGAACATATGGCATGAAACCCTTAAACATATTGGCACATAGCCCTTGTACATTTGGCATGAAACCCTTGAAAAGTTGGCATTAAGCCCTTGAACATATGTATGGACTCAAGAGGTGGCTCGTACGGATTCTAGAGGTGACTCGCATTGCAGCACTTAGTTCCGTACAGCACTTTGTTCCATACCAGAAATCATTAGGTCTTAAAGACCGATCAATTCATATCATGTTATAACATAGCATAAATGGAACAGATAAATAGAAACATATTCGTACATATTCTTACTTATGCTTGTATCAGAAACAAAAATCAGAGTTCATGCTTGATCATAACCCACCCGTACAAGACCGTCGGTAGTACCATCCGTACAAGACCGTCGATGGTAAAACATAATCCACCCGTACAAGACCGTCGGTGGTACTTCCGTACAAGACCGTCGATGGCAAAACATAACCCACCCGTACAAGACCGTCGGTGGCAAGAGATATCTTGTAACATACTTGAACCACGGTATTATTACCCCCAGGCAAGGGCCATAAGACCACGGTATTATTACCCCCGGCTAAGGGCCTTGTGCTAAGGATGCCATGAATACTTTTACATATATGGATAATCATTCATTAATTCATAGCGTCACATATCATAAAATAGAGCATTTCTTGGTATATCATGTCATTATCGTGCGCTTAACAAAATAGAATAATTCACATTCTTATGTGGGTTACATAATGATGTTAAACTTTTGCGTTCATGTCGTAGATTCTGAATAACTTCGAGTTCATATGTAACACAACAAAATAACTTCAAATTCATATGGATTCACATAACTTTCCAATTATTCTGATTCTTCGAAGATGAACACAAATTCTCTTTATTCATTAAGAAATGACATGGTTCACTTGAGCTATTAATCAGTAACATACACCTTTGTTTAATCGTTCATATATGTTAACATGGTTGACCTGTAATTAACAAAGTACTAATGGTAACCATTGCATCATTCACATGAGTTAATGCAGTTAACTTAAGTTTAACAGAACGTTCTTGATAATTATTAACGAAAGGTAAACACATTTTAACGATTGAATGATTCCAGAGATACCGGAATACCATAGTTTCATAATCCTCATACGTTTTATTTGTTCGTCATGAATCACTATAGCTATCTTGCAAATAACAGAAAGTTAGTATTCATTGTCAACAGTAAACAGAATGGACTGCTCAATAATACCTCTAGATTTTCCAATCAGCATATTGTTAACTTAATTACTTGCAAGGGACAGAATTTTAACAATGAGAATCATTAACAATACTTGAACGTGCGACTATAGTACTAGTACTCACAGCGGTAGGTCTCTGATAGCGGTGGAACGATGTCCTCGTCTTGACCTACAAACACAATGCATATAACAGATCATGAGAATAAAACCAATCTCTTTTTATTCTTCACTCAACAGCTATGGTGGTTCTAGACTCATTAGTCCTCCATAGGTTATAATCCATGCCTTATAAGATAGGAGGAATCAATAGGAGAAAGGTTCAGATGAAGAAACGGTACAAACTGGTAAATAGAAAATGAATAGTCGTCACTAATTTGGGCATAACTATTTTTGTATTTAGAATTTGGATGTGAGACCACCACCATTGGAAACTAGACTTCCGGGACTTGATTTTAGGCTCAAGAATCACTCAAAACGGAGTCCAGATGCAGAAGATATGCTTGTTCAAAGTTGACTGGACAGATCTGTCTCCGCACGTGCGGGGAAACAGTGCCGCACGTGCGGCCCTGGATAGTTTGCAGTCCGAAAATGGCTGAAAATTTGGGACTTCTCATTTTCAAAATCAAACCTTAATTACATGTTGTATTCGTCCCCGAACGCCCCGGGAGGATGAGTCCCGTTCTGTTCGCTTTGGGCTCACTACAGTTTAGGACTCTCAAATTGTCACGGTTCTTAACCTGAACGAAAGAGTCCAAATCTGGCAAATCGTTTTGGAAAACAGATTTTTAGAAAAAAAGTGCCAAACATGGACTGATTTTCCAGATACAGAGTCGCCACCTAAATATTTTATTTTAGAAAATTTAGGAAACCCTGACTCGGCGCCAAAGGCCACGTGTCCGTCATCACCAAAGTTGTCTCGGCTCGGAAACTTTGGTACGATTGGGGAAGGTCAGCTATGAGCACCCCCTCTCCCCGATCAAAGATCGGCCTCTACTAACCGTGATATCTTGTTTTGAAAGCATTATGTGTTTCTAATCCGGTTATTAACCTAGAATTACTTATGTGATGCGCACAACAAAACAAGTATAGACTAAATTGCCTAAGTCGGAACAAAGCATCGCATTTCCGTTTATTTGGAAAATGGTTTGAATTTTGCTACTCGCGAGTAGGCTAAAATACGGATTTCGATGGATTATCCCAATTCAAACAATCCAACCTTCACCCACAGGCATTCATGCAGTTATATCACATAAGTATATAGCCACATGGTAAGCATGCTATCATGTTAACATTCACACTCATGCGAGATGCTAAAGCATAAATACTTACATCGTACTCCGTGCCAAAACAGTGAACTAGTTAGTAATCATATGCATGATCCTAATTCATGTTAAGGTGGCTAATGTTTCTCATACAAAATGTTAGTAGAATAGGTTCGGCTAATCTAAGGATGACGTGTGAAATACGAGAAATCGATGCACGTATTCAAGTTTGGAATTGAAATACTATGCGGTTAGCATGATGCGCCGAGCCCGGTGCACGCAAGGCTGATGAATGATGCACGCATGCATAGCATAAGGTATGCTAAATTAAACGTGCCCTAATACTAACCATCAAAAGCAGGTAAGTAAAAGGGAGAAAGAAGTGGGGGTTGGAAGACATGCACACACGCACCCACACTTATTACAAATTCGCCCTCGCTAGGAGGGACCAAAAGAATAATACAAATTTAACTAACCTACAAGCTAATTAAATATTACAGACCACCCAATTAATTAACAAATCGATTAAGTAAAGAAAGCGATAAAATGCCTCGGGAAGAGGGTCCAATGAATGCGTGCTCGGATTTGCTCAGAAACCTGTTGCCATGCACAAGTTGCCTCTGTTTTCCCTGCTCTGCTCCTCTGAGAATTGCAAAAGTCCCAGGGAGCACTCTATGGACACTGTGGAACACCACTGGCTAAGACAAATGGTCACCGACCATGGCAGGATGGTCATCGACCATTGATTGAGCTCTCGGCCACAAACTTTTGGTCGATCGGCACTCTATGTAGTCGACCGGCCATCTTTGTCTGCAGAAACCTGTTTTGACAGCAGTAGAGGGAAAAACATGGCATGGCAATGCATTTCAAGCAATGTTTGCACTAACCACACTCCTTATCATATTCATGACTCAAAGGAGCATGGTACTTGATTCTCAGACCACCAATCGCGCATTTCAATGCGTGATGGCCCAAGGAACCAAGTTGTGCATTTTGATTTCAAATGTAATGCAAACCAAACAAACAAATGAGGCCTAACTTCTATCATACTCAATTCAAGAGGCAAGGCATGCATGTCAAATACAACCTAAGCATGCACTCCAAACATGCAACATGAGCATGCAAATAAACATGCAAGGATGCAACTATCAAGTATGCAAAGTGTAATGTCAACATGCACACATGCAAGGCATATAACATGTTAGACAACTTAGCAAGAAATGCATGCCAAACGCAACACTATTCAAGCATGCAATAACATGTCATGAACCAAGTATCTAAACATACAATCATGCATGCAAACATGGTTCGACACTTAAGCACAAAGAGGTAACTTTTAAGGTCACTTAAAAGGAGATAAACATGGGTATATAGCAAGCATGCTAGGCTCTGAAATTGCATGAAATAGAGGTGCCAAACCAACTAATTAAAGCAAGCAAAGCATGCAAGCAAAGCCAAAACTCAAGGCAAGCCAAAGATGTATTGAACTACACTTAGCAAAATCAAACATGATATGATTTGAACAACCAAAATCAGAGTCTTAGCATGTTAAAACAAAGCCAAAAACACATCTAGATGGCATCTAAATGGTCTAAACATGCAAGCATACAAAAGAGGCCAAACATGGAGCGCAAGATGACAACCTTATAAAGCATTAAAGGGATATCAAATGCAAGCATACAAGAATGCCATGAGGACTGAAATGATGCTATAAGTAGTTCTAAGCCACTGAAATGATGCAAGGATAGCATGCTAGAGGGTCCGATACTTAAGGCCTACAAGAGGGATTACATGGTAGCTATACAAAGCAAATCATGAATGACCCGAACAATCAAAAACAGTCCTCAAGCACACTAAAACATGCATAAAAGCTTCACAAAGCTAAGCCAAAACAAGTAAGCATAGTGGTCTAAATGCTAGATACATGTTAAGGCAATTTCATGGCATTGCAAGACAAGTATGCAAAGCAAGCATGGTGTGTCTAAACCAAGTAAAAACAGTGCTATATCATGGAAAAATAAGCATAAATAACACTTAAGACATGGCCAACATGAACTTAAAAAGGATGCTTACACATAAGGCAAAAATGACCCTTTTCAAGAACAACAAGGAGAGGGGGTGGCCCTCTCCTTCTTAGGACCTCAAGGCACCATCCTCACCACTGAAATCCCTCAAGATTTCAGTGGTGAGGAGGCCCAAACAAGGTGGTCTCGGAGCTCACCCAAAATAGCACAAAAATGGGGCCAAACAAGCCCTAAGAGGGGTCAAACGACCTCAAACAACAAAACACTCTTAAACAACTATTTAGAGCAGGCAAAAATAAGACTTTTATGTGTTATACACAGAGTTTAAAAACAGTTGCAAGATAGGCAAAAAGACTATGCAAATATGGGGTAAAAAGGGCACGAATCTTACCCTTGTTGACCATCTTCAAGAATGATGCTCTAGCAGCTTCTTCAAGCTCAAAACCACCCAAAAACACCAAGAACGGCCTTCTGGTCCCTCAGCAACCAAGAGAAGGTGTAGGACTAGGTGTTTGTGTGCAATAGTAAGACTAAACACACCCACAAGGCAAAAAACAGGGAGAAATAGAGATAGAATAGATACACTATGCTAACCCTAGAACCAGAGCTCCCCTGGGATTTTTTGTCTAACCCTAATGGAGGGAGAAGAGGCTCCCTCTTATAGAGCTCACTCTTGCAAAGCTTCTCAAGTAAGCTAGTCAAGAGGAAGATCCCTCCATACACGTGTGTGGAGGAGAGCAAAGTGGGTGTCAGCTATCACAGCTGGCACAAAATATCTGCCAAAAGCAGATGCACAGTGGTCGGCCGGCCAAAAATGCAATTTGACCAAAATAGATGGCCGGTCGACTACAAATAGTGTCAGTCGGCCAAACATTTGGCCGGTGGCAACAAACCAGTGGCCGGTGGCCTTAAGCCATGGCCAGTGATGTGTGAGAATGGACAATAAGCCATTCTCTGCCCCTCAAAGGCAAAACACAAGTATTTGGTGCAAAACCAAACGCAAAACAGTCGAGTCGAGAGGTCCTGAGGTAGGGCGCGTGGCCGAGACCTCCGAGAACTCAAGACGAACACAAACAAGGATGATCATCGAGTGTTCAAACGATGACATCCAAGTCTTGAGGACGGTCAAAAATAGGATGTCTACACATGTAAATCAAAGCCCAAAACCCTTTAATACATGACCAATTTCACGTTATTATTCTCCATCAAACATCATAACCTCAAAATAAACAAATATAATGACTTTAATTCTTCAATTAACCAACTCTTAAGGAATCAAGGTTCAATTCATGAAAAGAGTTCATCTAAACTTATATCTATCAACCCCAACTCAATTAGGTGGTTTCTCTTCATTTGAGATCATGAATTTAAACTAGTAATAGATTAATCTTAAGGGGTTAAGTTGATTTCACATACCTAGAGCCAATCTCTTGAAGTAATTCCATAAATTTTCCCATATTTCCTCTTCATTCTAAGGCTCTTCCTTCCTTCTTCTCCTTGAGTTCTCTATCTCTCCCTCTCTCACGTGGCTCTCCCTTTCCTCAAGATATATATTTTTTTTATTCTAACAGATGAGTCCATCCACTCATAAGGCACCCATAATATAAGTATACACATATACACCAACATAACACAATAGAGAGAGCCAAACGTGGCCTTACGATTCGTACGAAATCAAATTTCAATTAAACTTCCCAGATTACTCTAAAAATTATGAGGATCATAAATATGTCCCATGTTCCGGTTTATGAAGCCTCTAATGCCTTCAATTTTCAGTATAAAGTTAACTACCAAACGTGCATTAACGAATCAAACAAATTAGATTTCCAATTAATTGTCCCAAATAGTTCCAAAAATTCCCATTAACATATCCAAGTACTTAATTTTGATTTCTGAACCCATATAGGTCGGTAATTTCAATTTTAAATCCGTAACTCAATAGATAATGCTTCAATTCCAAAAGATATAATTAAATTAAAACACATCATCTCATAGTTAAATACCAATGATTTCTTATATGTATTTTGGGGTCTTTACAGTTCAACTGGAGATAAACCAAATCTTATTTGATAAAAGAGCATTGTTATTCATATTCAAAATTTATTACTTTATAGATCCAATAATGTGTCAAGATGATGATTAATTGATAATTAAATATTCTCTAATTATCAACTAATTATGTTCTTGACATATTACTGGATCTATAAAGTAAATTTAAAGAGTATATTTGTATGTTGTTTTTCTTTATAAAATTCATCCAAAAGATAATTTATATAAAAATTTAGATTGATTAGATAGCAATGGTTACATATGCATATTCATATTGCATTTGTCTTCGTAGTGAATTTTTAAAAAATTAAAATAATAATGATTCAAATAATTAATACCTCAAAATGAGTTCAACTGGGGACCAGCCCAGGTGCGCATGCCACCTGCCTCATGAGAGAGGTGTAAAGCAAGCAGTCCATAATTAATGAATGTAACTATATTGTAAGTGTGATTTTAACGAGTTATTTAGAATGTTTTAAATAAGTGTATTTTTTAATTTTTTAAAATAAAAAGTTAAGAAAAAAATTTAATGTGTTTGATTTGAGTTTTTTGAATTAAGTTTTTTGAAAATTGAATTTTTTTGTTTTGGTTTTGGTTTTCGTATTCTTTTGTTTTTAGTGAATATTTTTTTAAATTTTAAACATTTTTTTTTATTTTTTTAAATGCACCTTAGTTAGATGTATCTAAAAAGTAAAAAAATTGTGAAAAAATATTTTAAAAAATTAATAAATACACAAAAATACAAAAAAATGTACTGAATTCTTATATATTTTTTTTTTGTATTTTGGGTATTTAGTGAATTTTTAAAATATTTTTTTTATGATTTTTTTTTTACTTTTTAGGTGTATTTATGTTTGGTGTGTCTAAAAAGTAAAAAAATTGCTTAAAATATTAAAAAAATTTAGTAAAAATAAAAAAAATACGAAAAATAAGAAAGTAGAATTTTTTGAAAAATGAAAACAAACAAGCTAATTATGGTTGTTTGGAATAACTTTTTGATTTTTTATGAAAAAATGTGTATTGAAAAATTATATAATTTAGTGTATAGGAGAAGGGAGAGAAGAATAGGCAGTACGCTAGGGCAGAGCAGTGGGCAAACTGGCATAGAGGATATGCTTGCCTCCTTTTTGGGCATTGAATTGGACGGTGATGTTCGTCTCGTGGGGGCCCACCATGGCTCTCGTCTTGGTAATTAGAACCGTTCAATGTGTAGAACTCATCAAGTACTATATGTTTGTAAAAAATCACGTTGATCAAATATCGATAGCTATCTGATCGGATTAGTTTTTTGTTAATCATTAACTATAATACCATCTATTTTTGTATACAAAACTAATTTGATCATATAGTTAGCAATATTCGATCAAGGTGATTTGTTACAGCCATATAGTATTCGACGAGTTCTACACATTGAAACGGTTCAGATTATCAAAACGGGACCCATGATGAGCTCCCATGGGCTGAACAACACCGTCCTTAAGCTTGCCTTCGCCTGTGTAATTTGTTCTCATCAAAGTTAAGTAAAGGCAACTCCCGTCAGAGTGAGTTGTACTTTTTGTGTAAAAATAATTTTTTTATAATTTTTTTTGATGAATAGTGATAATTTTTAAATTTTTTTAATAACTTTTTTACCTTTTATCTTTTTTTGAAGATGCCAAACCAGGCCTAATTATATATTTTTTCCAATTCTCGTTTATGTTTATGAAAAAAAAAAAAAGAAAATTCAGAATGTCAAAAGTCTATTTTGCACCTCCTTTTCACTTCGTATAATTCATGGCATTAATTCTCTATTTTCCTGTACAAACACAATTTGTGTAAATTAAAAATTTGTTTCTTGGAGAGTTAATAATTCGGTTCAGAAATTAGGAAAACCATGTTGTTTGGTTTTTAAACTCAACAACCATTTTCGAGTTTTTTTTTTTTTTTTTTTTTTTTTTTTTTAATCTTTAGAGATTTTTTTTTAATTATTTTTTTTATAAAAATATATATGATGTTTTCCAATATATAGACTAGTTTTGGACCATGCGCGAAATAATTATATATAGCAAAAAAAAAATAATAATAATTATAGAAAAGGCTAAAGAATAAAAAATTATAAAAATAAATTAAAATAAAATTTATATTCTCAGTCGAAATTTTGATAAGAAATTGTACAAAATTATCCTGCTAATCTATCCAAAATATTTTTGCAAATCGTTTTAAAAATAAGACTTCAACAATAGTTAAGTTGAATTTGAAAATATGTATTAATTCATATATCAATTCAAATTTTTTCAAATATTTAACATTGTATTGTTGTAATTTTTTGTTGCATTTGGTGAGTTTGACCAAAGGGATTCTGATAGTTTTGTTTTGTTTTGTTTTGTTTTTTTTTTTTTTTTTTTTTTTTTTTTTTTTTTTTAACTCATTGTAATGTAAATTTGATATTTTTTTCCCCATGTTGCAATATAATGTCTTTTCATAATAAAAGAGCTAATTTGATTACATAAAAGATTTACATATTTAGAAGTTTATTAATATCCAAAAAAAATTAAAAATAAGTGTATGCTTGGATTTTACACATCAAAAATTTCTAATAGCATAAGAAAACTTTCTGAAAATGAGAGCAATTTAAATTTAAAAATAAAAATTATACGTGTTCCCTTATTAATGTCCATTTAAAAACAATTCCTGTAAAAATCTAAATAGTGTATGACAAGGTCACATTTTAGCATGATTTATTTTCCAATTACCACTAAAATTTTACCATATCATGTTTCAGTGTTGGCCTCACCCCAATATTTGATTAAACATATTAATCTTATGGTTTGATTTTGATAATGTGTAAATATTTATAGATTAAATTATTATTTTAATTATATATTTGATAACTATTGACACAAAATAGAATATATATATATATATATATAAATTATCATTTTATATATATTGCATCAATTAAATTAATTGATTTTTTTAAATTTTTTTTGGTTGTGAAATAAATATAATTCTAATATTATATACAGGGAAATGGAAATTCTAATATCATAATCTTAATTTCTAATTTTTTGATTAAAAAAAAAACTAAGCATTTATTGAATCTCTCCCACCCAAAGCCTTTTTAACTTCTTCTCATACTACTGTCACCACTGTTTTTCAACTTCTCCCACACACTATATAGTAATGATGGGATTTTTAAATTATTTTATAAAAATCTATAAAACAATATTTGTAATATTAAAAATAAGTAAAAACAAATATAAATTCTTATATAAAAATAACAGGTTGCATTGCAAAAAAGTAAAAATAAATTACATGTTTCATTTCATTAAAGCTAAAAAAAAATATATCTAAAAACAAACATAAATTCCGTTAAAAAGTAACATGTTGCAATTGAAAAAAAGAAAAAGAGAAAAACACTAACACTGTAAAAAAATATTTGCTATATTAAAAAAAGATCTAAACAACAAATATAAATTCTTATTAAACAAATTAAACGTCGCAATTGCGAAAAAAAAGAAAAAATTATATGTCTACATTTAATTAATAATGCTTAAACCAATATGCACAGTATTTGTGTAAGGTTTGACACGTGTTCAACTATCAAATTGTCTAAAGTGAATATAGATTGAGATAAAATAACTCAGCTTTAATTGGCTAACACACCTATTTAGAAACTTCAACATTGGAAAACTTATTAACTATTAATTAAAGAACTCAGCAAATGAAAGGTCTCAAAAACACATCTCTTTGTTCTTTTCAAACTTGTCTCCTTTATTGGTTTTTGCCATCATTATAATATTCCTAAGAATGGACGAGTGGAAGGAGTGAGAAGACATTCGAAATACTATATGAGTTATGTTAACTGTGATGATGAAAAAGTAAAGGTTGTCTTCTTCTCTCTTTGGCGATTTATCTGATTATACTTCCAATTAAAATGCCAGGTATGCTTCTACATCATCATGGAATGTTGCTTTCATTTTTTTTTTAAAAATACTTTGGCTCACAATTGTTTGTGTTTTGTGTCATGAAATTTATTGCATCTGTACTTGCTAAAGCTATTAGATAGACCTAATATAAGAAGCATAAATTATTTCAATGTCATTATCAAGATTAGAAGTACAAAACAACATACACAAAAAATTTGAATAGACAGATTTTTACAAAATTTATTTGTTGATTCTTTACTTTTTGAAAATCCATATAATCATTTATTTTTTGTATATATATTTTATGTTTAGTTTTTTGTACTTTTTTCTAAATATTAGTTTTCTTTATTTTCTTTAAAAGTTTATTTTTATTAATTAATAAATAATAATAATCTCATTTCTATTTCAAACATATTTCATTTTTATTTTTTGTTTTTTTATATTTTTTCTCAAAATAATTTAGTTTTTGGGCGATTACTTTTTTTCTTCTATAATATATTATAATTTTGTTGCTT